TGTGTATTCTTGATTACATGCTACATATCTCCTACAAAATCCCAATGGATCTTGAAAGCTGTGAAAGGCACCAGACCAATACTATCTCAAGCAAGTCCTATTTCCTATATTTTCTTGATTGGTATAGGTTACCATGTTACTGGATTATTTCAGAAACATGTTCCCAAGGTCAAAATGAAAAATACCAGCTGGTTATTTACAGATGGTTGCTAAATTTTAAATGTTAATTTCTAAACCCTAAATTAAACATTCCAACAGACATGAATAATGCAAACCAAGGGCCTGTTTTCCTAGATGAAAACAAGGATGACCAACTGTAAACTAAAGGCTCCTCTAGGGCTTATCTCCTTACAATTCTAAAATCCCATTTCTGCACTCTCAAACCACACATAATTGTAACACTTGCCAACACTTTTTAACTCATGCATTGCTTTCTTTCCTCAGTGTTCAGCAATAAGCAGCTTGGACCTCTTGGTTTTAAGTCACTGGGAAATCTGTGTTAAAATGTGTAAGTGTTGGGCTGGGGATTAGCTCAGTGGTTTCGCTGCCTGCCTCGCAAGAGCAAGGGCTCAAATTCGATCTCCCGTACAAAAAATAAATAATTAAAAATAAATGTGTAAGTGCTATCTTTGTGTCTGCTTTGTTCCAGAAAGACAAGACAACTATAATAAGCATTACTTACTTGACTTTTTCATTCCTACAACCTTCTCCTCCTCTTTATAAACTAGTATCTTCATGCTGATTTAGTTTTAAGTGAGAAGCAACGAAACATTTATTTCAAACAATATTAGTCCTTCAAGGACAAGGGATTTAGCTCAGTGGCACCATGCCTGCCTTGCAAGTGCAAGGTCCTGAGTTTGATCCCTGGTACCGGGAGAAAAAAAAAATTAGTCCTTCAAAGAAAGATGAAGCTTCATTCATTCAACAAGGATTTATTGAGTTTCTGCCAACTAAGCACTTATGGCTACAAGTTTGGGATTTATAGGGGATACAAACAAACAGGCAGTTACAACAGTGAGATAAATACATGACAGGAAGACAAAGAATGCTCTGAAACCCACAGAAGGGACAGTTCATCCAGTAAATGAAGACCAGAGAAGATTCCCAGAAGTGAGTTTAGCTGAGAACTCAAGGGACTGTGTATTTATGAGTAGCAGCACCACTGAACTGCCAGGTACAGTCCATTTAAGTGGCGCAGCAACTGAAGGTCTGCATTCTAGTCCTGATACAACAAATGGTACTCTTCCCACTGCAGTCACATAACCCATGGACTGGCCGCAAACCACCCAAATATCACACCCTATCCAGATTTCCACTTCCTTTTATTTCTCCATTCTCCATTCTTCTGCCCTAGTTCACCATCTTTACCAGTCTCATAGTTATCAAGCTTTTTAACAAATATTTACCGAGAGCCTATCTGGGAACAAGTATGACGACCACTGGACAAGGGAAGGGAGGCACTGGGGCCCACCACAAGGACCACAGGACCACAGATGTGAGGAGCTGAGAAAAACTACACAATTGTCCATTGGTTCATCCACCCCCACAAACCTCACACTAATAATCCCATTTGTGAAAACAATATCCATGTTTTGAACTCATCTTAGTTTTGGAACATTTTTCTGGAATCTGAATCTGACCTATTCTGAAGACACCAAAGCTCCCTCCCTGAACTCTTTTCCTCTGTCCCTCAGAACATTCTTCCTAAAAATCATAATTTCTTGCTTCCAAAGAAGACTGATATTTTCTTAACTTATTTCTACACATCACTGTCAATATACAATCACAATGCTGGGAACAAAGACAATACTGCCACGTTGTAACCATCCGCCTTTCTAAGCTCATCGGACACTCTACAAGCTAAGTGAATGGCTAGATGAGATTACTTTTTAATTTCTCTTCCAAGTCCTGTGATTTTATGATTCTATGACATAATTGGAGCCATTTTTCTATGAAAGTTAAAGGTGGGTAAAATTATTCCAGCCTAAGATGTTATTATAAAGGAAACATGGGTCAGCATTTCAATAATATTTGGTTTTTCAAAGTTGCCAATATAACCTCACTGCCAATGGGCAAGACCACAGCTGCAGGCATAAGTGAACCAGGCTGTGGTATTGTGTTACAATGAAAGATATACGCTTCTACTTCAAGAGATCAACTAAACACAAAACTTAAGAAATAAATTTAAGAATGACCTAAATGTTTTGGATTATACGATACTTCTCATCTGAGTATGTGTAATTACTATACTTTCTAAAAGTGAATCTTCACTATGTTTTGAGATCTTAGTACTAGAAAACATAATAATTGTACTCCATCTTTTAGGCTTTTTGAACAACATTCCAGACATGTAATAAGTACATGCCCATGCTCATGTGCTACACAATTCATACGTCTTTGGTGTACATGCTTTATACATCCAAAATTGAGAGCTTGTCATTAAGATACACAGCTTCACAACACAGCTCTCAATTTGTAGCACAAGTTTATCACCTAAAGCATAAAGAAGACCGGAAAGCCACAGGTCTCAAGGCTTGCCCCAGGAGCAACCTCTAGGGGGAAAATCACCATAAGCAACCATGTTCTTTCAAGCCAGTGTTCTCTTCCACTATCACACAGACAGCTTTAAGGACCCAAGCAGTTCTTAACAGCAAGCAGTTCTAAACATCTTGGCTCAAAACTTCCTAGCTGTATGAACTTGGCACACAGCCTCTCTTGTCGTTAGTTATGTGCTACAGAAAAAAGAGAGACAGAGACTGAGAAAGATTTTCTTAATACCACCTTCCTCAAAAGATTGTTGTCATACTGCAATAATTTCTGCACCTAACCTGAAGGTTATTGGAATGCAGAAAAACAATGGAGAAGCCACTCTATTCTAAAGAGAAAGGTTTTGTAATTGCTATGGCTCAGTAGGTTAAGTCACATTTAATTAAGTCTGGAATTTCCAAGGACAAAAACAGAGCTTCTTCATAAGACACTTGACGTAATTAAAAATAACAAAAACAAAAACAAATACAAGAAGTGGTATCAGGGTGGAAAGCTCTAAGAACTGGCTCTGAAGAAGCAGGATAGCACATCTATAACCTTAGCACTTGGGAGGCTGAGGCAGGAGGACTGCTGTGGGTTTGAGGCCAGCCTACACTACATGGTGAGTTCAAGGCCAGCTGAACTATATAACGAGACCCAGTTTCAAAAAAAGAGAAGCGTAGTAGAGCTAAGTCACAAGGTTCCTCCATCAACTACAGCCAAGTTTTTTTACATTACCCTGCTTCTCAGTATTTAGATCTATTATTAAATTCAGGGTCAACCACCTTTGAACTCTATATAAATTTGAGAATACAGAAAAGGGCAGAGAAGAAAAAGTAAATGGAGCCCAGTATGAATTATTAAATAACTGGATATCTGAATGATAGATTCCAGACATGGGGTCTACAGATTGAACCCCTCTGTATCCCCCATGATGTTCACCACTACTTTATTTGGCTGGAAACTACAACTGTCACCCAAGCAGCATCAGTCTCATCAGAAAGAGGAGAGCAACCCGACAGCAGAACTGGTTCAGAAATTGTGAATCATTCTGCAAGAGCCAGACGGGCCAAACCACATCAACATTACATTTAAATAAAATACACACACACAACCACCAAAACAAAGTGATGACTTGTCAGAACTCTAGCTCTGCTCTCCCTACCAGGCCTGCTTGGGACGCTCATAATTAACACTAAAATCATATTCTCAGTATGGTTCCTCAATGATAAGTGAAGACCACTAATTTCCACTGGAAAAGGTCCTATCTTTCCCAAGCACATCTTCAAGGTCACTAAGTTTACTGCCCTTGTGGGTACAGTCTGGGTAGAGGTACACTTGTAGGGAAGGCCCAAGCCAAGGCAGCTGGACAAGGCCAACTTCAGAGGTCCATTTCAGCAACACTGTAGAGGAAGCAATGGCTGCTGGCCCGTTCCCTGCCAACCCCAAGACATACAAGTCCCATGCTGTCTCCACTCTTAACGTGAGACCCTGGGCTGCTCTGCTCCCTGCCCTCCACCACACTCCATCTATGAATGCTACTCCAAACAGCCTGAATTTTCCGAAACTCAAAGCCAGTAAGAATGCTCTGAACCCCACTGCCTGTGAAATCTGAGTGTGACTACAATCAGACCAGGAGAAAGCACCCTCCATCCCTCTCACCACACTATCCCAGGATGAATTCTATCTTCAGATCAAGAATGTCTTCTTTCTTCCATGTGTTCATGTTTGCCCGAGCAGTAATCCTGTTGCCAGGCTTTCCCTTTCACACAGCACCTTGATTTGGGATATGTTGAAAGGTCTACTAGGCAAATTAAGAACTCACATGATCCTATCCAATACTCAAACGCTCGGTGGAAAGGAGTCTTGTTTATAGAAGCAGTGTTTTTCCAAAGCTCCCCCCCCCACTCTTCACACTCTACATGTGAAGTCTTGGGCTTAAGCAATGCCTCTGCCTCCTCTTGGGCTATAGAAAAGAGACCACAATGGAAAGTCTGCCACCCCCTCAGAGGAGGCACACTTGGAATGGCCTGTACCCTGAGCATTCCGCCCTGCTGGGAGGGGAGGTGGGGAGGCTGTGAGCATCTTAGGCAGAGGGCAGAGAGAGAAAGGGTGCCATCTTGGCAAAGTTGCTCACAGCTCTTGTCTGACAAGAGTGCTGCTTTCTGGCCTGTTAGTGTGTGTCACTTTTTAGTCACTCCACCCCCAATCCATTTGCCAAATACTTCAAGATGTTTCTGAGAGGTTCTGAATTATTGACAAAGTTAGGGAAGATGCATTGCAAAACATCAAGCAAAAACAAAAACAACACAAAAAAACAGCCCTCCACAGCTAGTGCAAACACTTGAGTCATTAGTAGTTTCCTTTTTAAGTCCAAAGGAAAAGGGGGTTGGCCTGTCTCTGCTCAATAATAATGATATTCACAGAACAGACACTGAAATTCCAAAGTTCACGATCTGTCCAGTTTTACTCACCCCTAGCCATCTTGCTCCTTTATTGGCAGCCTGTTGAATCTGGACTCTTTTGAGGGTGACATGGTAAACAGCTCCTTCTTCTACCTCTTCACCCCAGTCCTGAATCGAGCTCTGCCAGGGATGGGATAAAGAGAAAGAAAAGGAGTATTTTTTTTTTCTCTCTGCTAACCACAATCTATCCCAGCTGCTTTGCTGCTTACAACAGCACTCAGGGCACAAGATGGGCTGTACAAAATAAATATTCCAATCAGAGCAGTACAAGACACAGTGCAATAGGGGGAATGCTGAGATTTTCTTGGCCCCTAGCCCTTTCCTGTGGTATCAGGGTCCCCTGACTTTTCCATTTAATTATTTTTCCTAGACCTGTTCACATATCTTAAATAGGGTTTTTTTTTAAATCTTTTTTCTTCTTAAAAAAGCTGTGGCTCAGTCCTGAATAACTTTTCCCCCTTTCTGTGAAAAGAAAGTGAGTTATCTGCGAAAAGAAAAATAACTGATTTGCCTAAAAAGTTTGTACTTTTAAAGTGGTTCAATCATCTGAGCATACTAAATTTCAAACTCAGACACAAACGAGTGTTTTTATGCCAAGAGTCCTCGCGCCTTTGCAAGTGAAATGCTTTGCATGTCTTTTTCTCCTCTTGTTGTTTCGGATCCCCCAAAGTTATCGGAGGTGGAAGTTTTTATTTCCGTAAAATATTCCGGCAAGTGCAGGAAATCAACACATATTCATGAAGCTTCAACTAGAATTTCTGCAGCGACCCCCGCTTTTCATGCCGCCAGCTCTTGCACTGGGGTTAAAGGGCTGCTGGGACGGAGAAGCGCTCCTCGGTTCACCCAGACTAACCAGCTCTTTTCCCTTCAGAGTTCTGCTCTCCTGACAAGCATCTGCCCAGACCCCCCCACTGCAAAGGCTGAGAAAGTAGGGATCGTTCAAGGAGAAGACGCGCGGAGAGGGAGGAATACAAAGCAGAGTGAGAAAGCTTCAGCTCGCAAGTACGGGATCGGATCGCTCCGCTCCGCTCGCTCCGAGAGTCCAAAACCCGCCCAGGGAAAGCGGGAGAAGATTCCCCACCAAAGCAGCCTGCGGAGGAGGCAGAGAGCTCTCGTTACCATTTTAGCTTGCCAAAGCAATTTCATTCTCAGTTTTCTCTCCGGTTCGTGGACGCTGCATGATGCGCCCTGCTCCGAGGCCAACGCAGCGTCTGCTGGGCTCAGCCCGCGGCGCTTTCCGAGGCCCCGGCCCCGGTCCCGAGCG